TGGCAGCAAGGACATGATGCTTTGTATCTCTCTGCACAGCATGTCTCCCTAGTAACACAGCACACAGTTAACCCTTTGATCGCCCCCAGATGTTAACCCCTTCCTGCCCAGTGTCATTAGTACAGTGTCAGTGCTTTTTATTAGCACAAAATAATGCAGTTATGTATTCATTAAAAGCACTCAGACTGGGAGAGGGAAGAGCCAGAATTTGGAGCCAATCAGGTGTCCTGCAAACACATGTGCTAGCAAGGAACATGCTGACAGTAGGAGACAGCAGAGAAATGAGCTCATCAGTCTGTTACTGCTCTTTCATTGTCCAATCACAGACTGGGGACAGGGAAGTCAACTTAACTAAAAATGTAATAAAACATATATAAATGTTATGCAAGCCACCATGTAATTTAAAGTCGATGTAGTCCCTAACGATGAATTTGGTCTGTTACCTATATAATCAAAGGAGTTTTATTACATCTGTTCAACAAGTGCAACTGCTTCTTGGTGTCAGTGGGAGGAAAAGTGCCCCATAATTGTTGTCAGTGGGAGGAAAAGTGCCCCATGATTGTTGTCAGTGGGAGGAAAAGTGCCTCATGATTGGTGTCAGTGGGAGGAAAAGTGCCCCATCATTGGTGTCAGTGGGAGGAAAAGTGTCCCATGATTGGTGTCAGTGGGAGGAAAAGTTCCCCATCATTGGTGTCAGTGGGAGGAAAAGTGCCCCATGATTGGTGTCAGTGGGAGGAAAAGTGCCCCATTGTTAATGTCACTGGCAGTAATAGTGTCACAAGGGTGGATAAATGACAAGCAAAGGGCTGCATTTGCCCCCCCTCCCCGGGCCTCAGTTTGGAGATCGCTGTTCTGGATAATGAGAATAAACACTAGATGGGAGTTTCTTCCTTTACGTCAATTATCAGGATCAGTGTGATAGATAATCCCTTTCCATCAACAAGCAATATATCAGCAGAGATGAAACCACCAGTTCAGTGATGTTGATGCCTGCTGTCACTTTTAGGAACATTACAGTGTATCTAAACCCAAGAACAAAAACAGATACATTGCAGCGTACCAGTCCTTCCATGTGATGGCTGCACCAGGGGCGGACTGACCATTTGGAAACTCGGGCACTGCCCGAGGGCCCGGGGTCAGTGGGGGGCCCCATGAGATGCCCCTGGTACCTTTTTCATAGGCTTTTTTGAGTTTGGGCAAGGACACAGGGGCCCCATGATCCCCTATTGCCCGGGGGCCCCATGAGTTGTCAGTCCGCCCCTGGGCTGCACTGATTTCCCTTTTCACACTTTCTTTCCTTTGTTTTAACCTGGTAATCCTGTAATTAACTCACTTTCTGTCCTTGGGTGATAACTGCGCCAAGCAGCAACACCTCCCTCTCTTCTCCATAACAGTGGTGGTGCTTTGTAGTCCACAGAGATAGCTAGGAATAATGCACTTTGCCTCCCACTGACACTAATGATTTGGCACTTTTCCTCCCACTGACACCAATGATGGGGCATTTTTACTCCCACTGACACCAATGATGGGGCACTTTTCCTCCCACTGACACCAATGATTTGGCACTTTTCCTCCCACTGACACCAATCATGGAGCACTTTTCCTCCCAATGACACCAGTCATGGGGCACTTTTCCTCCCACTGACAACAATGATGGGGGCACTTTTCCTCCCACTGACACCAATGATTTGGCACTTTTCCTCCCACTGACACCAATCATGGGGCACTTTTCCTCCCACTGACACCAATGATGGAGCACTTTTCCTCCCACTGACACCAATGATGGGGCACTTTTCCTCCCACTGACGCCAATGAAGGGGCACTTTTCCTCCCACTGACACCAATGATGGGGCACTTTTCCTCCCACTGACACCAATGATGGAGCACTTTTCCTACAACTGACAACAATGATGGGGCACTTTTCTTCCCACTGACACCAATGATGGGGCACTTTTACTCCCACTGACACCAATGATGGGGCACTTTTCCTCCCACTGACACCAATGATGTGGCACTTTTCCTCCCACTGACACCAATGATGGGGCACATTTCCTCCCACTGACACCAATGATGGGGCACCTTTCCTCCCACTGACACCAACTATAGGGTAACTTTTCCTCCCACTGACACCAATATACACAGAATATAACTGGATATAACATTTATAGGTAAAGTTGATCCAGGGAATATTCGATTGCCTCTCGGGGGGATCAGGAAGGAATTTTTTTCCCCTGCAGGAGAAAATTGGATCATGCTTTGCTGTTTTTTTTTTTGCCTCCCTCTGGATCAACTGTGGTTATAGGATTATAATTTTTTTTTTATGGTTGAACTAGATGGACAAAGCTGGCCCTTTGTTTAGAAAATCTGGAGACCCCGGATCTAGAGCAGCCTTTCTCAACCGGGGTGCCTTGAGGTTTCTTCAGGGGCGCCTTGGTAAAATTTCTAAAAATTGCCCAAAACTTGTATACAAGCCAGCGGGTGGAACAAGCCCGCCTTTTAGTTACACAAAGCCACAGGTTTTCATTGTGCACCATTACGACCTTCTAGCTGCCGGCATCCTGACAACCAACGACATTATCAGTTGATAAGGAGGATGTCAGCTGCCTGCACAGCATCCTCTCTGCACCTCTCCATCAGTGCTGGGGTCATTAGCTCAGTAATGGATAAAAACTGAGGGAAAGGGGAAACAATGGAATACTAGTCAGTACCAGTGTGCAAAAGTGTATTTGCTTTGGAAGAATAAATCACCTCTAATTTTGGGTGTCCTACATGTGTGGATGTTGCTGCGTTATATAAAATTATTAGAATAGTTTTTCACATTTTAGAACAGGGTGCCTCAAGACTGTCCATAAATTTTAATTTTAAAGGGTGCCTCAAGACTGTCCATAATTTTAAAGGGTGCCTCAAGACTGTCCATAATTTTCATTTTAAAGGGTGCCTCATAATTTTAAAGGGACTGTCCATAATTTTAAAGGGTGCCCCAAGACTGTCCATAATTTTAAAGGGTGCCTCGGGACTGTCCATAATTTTAAAGGGTGCCTCGGGACTGTTCATAATTTTAAAGGGTGCCTCGGGACTGTTCATAATTTTAAAGGGTGCCTCAAGACTGTCCATAATTTTAAAGGGTGCCTCGGGACTGTCCATAATTTTAAAGGGTGCCCCAAGACTGTCCATAATTTTAAAGGGTGCCTCGGGACTGTTCATAATTTTAAAGGGTGCCTCGGGACTCTCCATAATTTTAAAGGGTGCCTCGGGACTGTCCATAATTTTAAAGGGTGCCTCGGGACTGTCCATAATTTTAAAGGGTGCCTCGGGACTCTCCATAATTTTAAAGGGTGCCTCGGGACTGTTCATAATTTTAAAGGGTGCCTCGGGACTGTTCATAATTTTAAAGGGTGCCTCGGGACTCTCCATAATTTTAAAGGGTGCCTCGGGACTGTCCATAATTTTAAAGGGTGCCTCGGGACTGTCCATAATTTTAAAAGGTGCCTCGGGACTGTCCATAATTTTAAAGGGTGCCTCGGGACTGTCCATAATTGTAAAGGGTGCCCCAAGACTGTCCATAATTTTAAAGGGTGCCTCGGGACTGTCCATAATTTTAAAGGGTGCCTCGGGACTGTTCATAATTTTAAAGGGTGCCTCGGGACTGAGTTCATAATTTTAAAGGGTGCCCCAAGACTGTCCATAATTTTAAAGGGTGCCCCAATTTTAAACTGTCCATAATTTTAAAGGGTGCCTCGGGACTGTTCATAATTTTAAAGGGTGCCTCGGGACTCTCCATAATTTTAAAGGGTGCCTCGGGACTGTCCATAATTTTAAAGGGTGCCTCGGGACTGTCCATAATTTTAAAGGGTGCCTCGGGACTCTCCATAATTTTAAAGGGTGCCTCGGGACTGTTCATAATTTTAAAGGGTGCCTCGGGACTGTCCATAATTTTAAAGGGTGCCTCGGGACTGTCCATAATTTTAAAGGGTGCCTCGGGACTGTCCATAATTTTAAAGGGTGCCTCGGGACTGTCCATAATTTTAAAGGGTGCCTCGGGACTGTCCATAATTGTAAAGGGTGCCTCGGGACTGTCCATAATTTCAAAAGGTGCATTGACTGAAAAAAAGGTTGAGAAACACTGATCTACAGAACAGAAGTAGATAAGGATCTGCAATACATTTCGGTAAAGCTTGTGAAAATACTTTTTTTGGTTGAGTCCAACTGTCATTTGTCCCCACAGAGTTTAAATCATTCAAAGTGTTGTTCCATTGGCTGTTGCAGGAAATATCTGAACTTTTCCCATTTTCCTTGAAGAGGTCATTCACCTAGAAGTGGTGTTTCAGTTCTGGGTTGAGCTCGGTGGACAGCCCCTGGCTTCTTATTTGTCTTGGATACACCAACTGTCAGTTTGCCATCTTTCATTTCCCAGCCTGTTCATCTTCCCCACCTGGGTGTCATGGATGTCCCCGCCCACCTTTGCATGTTACAGCCCCTCCATTTGTATTCTTTATAATATAAAGTTAAAAAAAAATCCTAAGGGTGATCACTCATAATGGCCACAGCCTGTGTGCAGAGATCTCAGCCATGCAATCCACTACAGATATAATGGTCGTGGTTTAACTCTTCAGCAAATATATGTTATATGTGGAATGACTGTTTAACCTCTTGTCATCCACGTCATACATACGTGTGGGGTCAAAGAGGGTGGCCTTTTACCACTCACCTACAGGGCACTTATACCCCCTTCCTGCCCAGGCCAATTTTCAGCTTTCAGCGCTGTCGCACTTTGAATGAAAATTGCGCGGTCATGCAACACTGTACCCATATGAAATTTCTATCATTTTTTTGAGACAGAGCTTTCTTTTGGTGGTATTTAATCACCTCTGGGTTTTTTTTTTTTGCTAAACAAACCAAAAACCACTGAAAATTTTGAAAAAAAAAAGTTTTTTCTTAGTTTTTGTTATAACATTTTGTAAATAAGTGATTTTTCTCCTTCACTGATGTGTGCTAATGAGGCTGCAGTGATGGGCACTGATAGGCTGCACTGATGGACACTGATAGGTGGCACTGATGAGGAAGCACTGGTAGGTGGCAGTGATAGGCATTGACAGGCATCACTGATCGGCACTGAAATGCAGCACTCATATATGGTACTGATAGGCGGCACTGATAGGTGGCACTGATAGGCAGCACTGACTGGCACTGATAGGCGGCACTGACTGGCACTGTTAGGCAGCACTGATGGGCAGCACTGATGGGCACTGATAGGCGGTACTGATGCGCACTGATAGGCGGCACTGACTGGCACTGATTGGCAGTACTGATAGGTAGCACTGACTGGCATTGATAGGTGGCACTGACTGGCACTGATAGGTAACACTGAAAGGCAGCTCAGATGGGCACTGATATGTGGCATTGATGTGCACTGGTAGGCACTGATATGTGGCATTGATGTGCACTGGTAGGCACTGGCAGGTGGCATTGATGAGCACTGACAGCTGCCACTGATGGACACTGACAGGTGGCACTGCTGGGGCTACACTGATCATCAATGCCCTGATGATCAGTGTACATGTCCCCTCTGAGTAAAGCCAATTACCGGCTCTCCTCTCCTCTCCTCTGTCAGCGTTACAGCTCGTGAGGAGAGAAATGCCGATAACCGGTATTTCCCTATTTACATGTGATCAGCTGTGATTGGACACAGCTGATCACATGACCGAGCCGACATCTTCAGCTCTTTCCGTGATTGGTGATCCGCTGTGTCCAAGGGACACAACTCCCCGCTGATCGCCGCGCTGCGCACTCCCGGAGCCACGCATGCGCGGTTAGAATGGGAAGTCATCATATGACGTCCTCCCAGAACGAGAGAACCGCCTTGCGCCCATCATTACCTTATATGGCGGGCAGGAGGCGGTTAAAGGATAAGTTCACCTTTTTTTTTTCTCGAAATTTCAGCTCCCCTATGTACCAATATAGCATTAATGTAGTGATGGGCTGAACACCCCCTTGTTCAGTCTGCAGTCGAACATTCGAAACTAAACAAAAGTTCGACTGCAAACTTTGAACAGGGACAATTTACTGAGCGGTTTCTTTTCACATCTGAGTATGCGGTAAGATATCGCTCAGCTAAGTTATATTATTAAGTCACGCAGTATTTTAGTAGTGAAAAACATTCTTTCATGTTTCAGCTGTCAATGGGGTTCCCCGCTGACAGCTGAATGTGGAAAGAATTGTCGGCATTACCCAACAAATAAAAAAGTTTTTAAAAAACAGCGTGGGGTCCCCCTCCCGTCCATACCAAGCCCTTCAGGTCTGGTATGGATTTTGAGGGTAACCCCCCACACCAAAAAATGGTGTGAAAGTCCCCCCCAAAATCCATACCAGACCTTTATTTGAGCATGCAGCCCAGCAGGTCAAGAAAGGGGGGGACAAACAAGTGCCCCCCCCTCCTCCTGAACCATACCAGGCCACATGCCCTCAACATGAGGGGGTGCTTTGGGGCAGAGACCCCCCCCAAAGTACCTTGTCCCCATGTTGATGGGGACAAGGGCCTCTTCCCCACAACCCTGGTCGGTGATTGTGGGGGTATGCAGGCGGGGGGCTTATTGGAATCTGCAAGCACTCTTTAACAAGGGGGCCCCCAGATCCCAGCCCCCTCCCCCCTTGTGAATGAGTATGGGATACATGGTACCGCTACCCATTCACAAAAAACAAGTGTAGTGTAGAAAAAGACATGAGACAGTCAACAAGTCCTTTATTAAAAACAAAAATTAAAAAAGTCCCCTGGAGTAGATCCACATCAATCACGATGCCCGCCGCCACCGCCGACCCGAAAAAAGAAGGAAAAAAAATATGCTCCGCCCTCGACATTGGCTATTAGCATCTGACAGCTGCGGAGCAATGACAGTTCTTAAATAGGGTGATGTCACAGGGGGGAGGGGTCACTCCCTCCCCCTTGTGACATCATCATGCCCTTGGCAATGCACTCCTGCCAAACGCCCATACCGTTCATGTTTCAACGAGCACACGAATGGCCCATGTTCGAGTCAAAATGCCTTTCAACTCAAACATGCAACCCATCACTATTTATTTATTTCAGGTACTTATATAGCGCCATCAATTTACATATATATTGTACATTCACATCAGTCCCTAACCCTCAAGGGGCGTACAATCTAAGGTCCCTAACTCACATTCATACATACACATACTAGGGACAATTTAGACAGGAGCCACTTCACCTACCAGCATGTCTTTGGAGTGTGGGAGGAAACCCACGCAGGCACAGGGAGAACATGCAAACTCCAGGCAGGTGGTGCCGTGGCTGGGAATTGAATCAACGACCCGAGTACTGCCAGGCAGAAGTGCTAACTATGTAGCCACTGTGCTGCCCACATCACTAATGTACTTCTTTTGCAGAAATTCAAAAGCTTTCCATTTTCTCTACACACCTTTTATATCACTGTCCAGATGGCTTCTCCATTACGTCTGCCCTATTTCCTGCAGAGACTTATGCAGGCCATACATGGGTCGAATTCCGAACGATTTTTTCGTCCGAAAATCAGAAACGTTGTTCGCTCGGTAATCCAATGGTGCCATCAATGATTTTGAAAATCTGACGACCAAGTCATAAAGTTCGCCCCATATAACAGGCAAAACTTCTGTTCCTTCCAGGTCACGGCTCATGCGCATATTCTTTTCGGACATATGATCGTACGATTTGACCATCGAGTCGAAAATCAATCGTTTTTCATGAATTTTCCAACATGCCCAATCACCAAAAAGGGGAGGAACCACGAAAATCGGCCAGTGCCATTGACCCACTAACAGAGCGAAAATCAGCCGTTTATTCTTGGGTCCGATTTTACGAAAAATCGGCCGATTTTCTACCCATGTATGGCCGGCCTTAGCCTGGGTTCACAAATATATGGTGTGGTATATCATATGTGATTCGCACAGGAATCACACCGCGGTTTGTGTGTGGTGCGATCGGAGCCATACATTTTGTATGGCTCTATTCGCACCGCGCACCGCACCAAAAATGTGGAGGACCCTTTTTTGCACATCGCACCGCATTTTGCAGACCGCTTTCGGGGTTTTGTTAACATACCCTCGGCTGTTCTCATGGACGGGGTGCGATTGTGATGCGGTGCGGAATTCACATTGAAAATCGGTCATTTTTCATGAATTTTCCAACATGCCCGATCGCCGAGAAGGGGAGGAACCACAAAAATCGGCCGGTGCCATTGCCCGACTAGCACAGTGGTTCTCAACCTGTGGGTCGCGACCCCTTTGGGGGTCGAACGACCCTTTCACAGGGGTCCCCTAAGACCATCATAAAACACATATTTGTAAACACATGTGTAAAGAGCAGCTACTGTGTAGAAAGCAGCTACTCTGTTAAAAGCAGCTACTGTGTTGAAAGCAGCTACTGTGTTAAAAGCAGCTACTGTGTTGAAAGCAGCAGTATTGGAGGTAAAACGACACTCATGAATAATAATTACTGGGTAAATAATTTTATGGTTGGGGGTCACCACAACATGAGGAACTGTATTAAAGGGTCACGGCATTAGGAAGGTTGAGAACCACTGCACTAGCAGAATGAAAATCGGCCAATTATTCTTAGGCAGGGGCGGACTGACCATTTGGAAACTCGGGCACTGCCTGAGGGCCCGGGGTCAGTAGGGGGCCCCATGAGATGCTCCTGTTACCTTTTTCATAGGCTTTTTTGAGTTTGGGCAAGGACACAGGGGCCCCATGATCCCCTATTGCCCGGGGGCCCCATGAGTTGTCAGTGCGCCCCTGTTCTTAGGTCCAATTTTTGGAGGAAACCATGTATGGCCAGCATTTAGGTCATGACACAGGAAGGAGTTGACCAGCTGACCTGATTAGCACACCCCCTGCATCATCTACCCTCCTACCTCCCACCCACTTCCAGGTGCATGACTATTAAATGAAATGCAACCAGTGATCACTGTCCTGACTAAATACACAGGCATCGATTTTTTTTTCTACCTTAACTTTTATCTTGCATAGATTATAGAAGGTGTCCTTTAACACCCACATGTCCCACATATCTGTGCATGGAAGGCTGAGGTTTCTGTGCTGAGACTGCATTCACAGCATGCTCCCAGCACAGTGATCGAGCTGTCATAGGCAGTCATGGTTGGGAACTGGCTAGATGTGCTCCTGATCATGTGACCACTATGACAGCCAAATACACTAGTCATGTGATCAGTAAGTCCATACCCCCCTCCCTCCTGGCTGTAAAGACCCACTTAAAGGAATTCTGGGGCTAGGTGAGAAGAGCCATTTAACCACTTGAGTTGCGGAACGTTTTACCCCCCTCCATGACCAGGCCATTTTTTGCTATTTGGCACTGCACTACTTTAACTGGCAATTGCTCGGTCATGCAACACTGTACCCAAATTTAATTTATATCATTCACACAAACAGAGTTTTCTTTTGGTGATATTTGATCACCACTAGGTTTATTATTATATAAACAAAAAAGACCGACATTTTGGGAAAAAATTATATTTTCTACTTTCTGTTATAAAATATATTTAATAAAGTCACATTTTTTCATACATTTAGGCCAAAATGGATCCTGCTACATTTTTGACTTTTTGCTATAATACATGCCCAGTAAAAAAATTTAAAAAATCTAATTTTTTTATAAATTTAGGCCAAAATGTATTCTGCTACGTCTTTGGTAAAAAAAAAAAAAAATCCCAGGGAGAACATGCAAACTCCAGGCAGGTGGTGCCATGTTTGGGATTCGAACCCACAACCAAATAAACTTTTAGCTTTCTTAACAGTTTGCTTTCTTTTTAAAGCAACCACAGCTTGAAAAGAAAAGCCAGTCCCAGGCCTGTATGCTGCAGAGAAGGACCCTGTCTCTCTGTGTGGAAGCAGAGATCTCTCTGCAGAGGTCTGTCACACTGCCTTCTGAGTCAAAGCTAGAGCTCTCCAGCCGGCAGGAAGATTGAGCTTTGCTGATTGGAGTGTGTTATAATATTTGAGAACACAAGACTTTCCGATTTCTTCTCCAATCAATCACTTCTGATAGGAATAATCAATCTATAGTCCACAACCCATTTGATCCATATGACACACACAAGGAAATGGATTTTGACTGAGGGCTAGTTGATCCTATGTGCAGTGACTGGCGTTTTACTGCAGCGTAAAATGCCAGTCTCTTCTAGGAAACACAGAAAACAGTTGTTTTCCGTGTATCCTATTCACACTGCAATGCAGCATGTGCTGTGTTGACAGTTTGGCCATTTGCTGACTTGACATCATCCACATGCAGCTTTACTCTACTCTAAGACATAGCAGTCGAATCCAGCACAGTTTTACCTCTCATGTGTATAATACAAAGGATGTTTTTTCAGTCTCTAAAGGGTAGGAAGAAAATACATTCCTGTTCCCTGTCTCTACCTGGAAAGTGAAAATAACCGAGAAGTGCTAACCAAACATGTCGAGTGAACAAGGGAATACCGGTTCCCTTCATCTATGACAGACTGTCTGTGACTCACACACAAAGTTGACATTATGCCCCCTGACGTTTTTTTTTTACTGCACCCCCAGACAGGGGCGGACTGACAACTCATGGGGCCCCCGGGCAATAGGGGATCATGGGGCCTTGCCCAAACTCAAAAAAGCCTACAAAAAAGGTACCAGGGGCATCTCATGGGGCCCCCTACTGACCCCGGGCCCTCTGGAAGTGCCCGAGTTTCCAAATGGTCAGTCCGCCCCTGCCCCTAGATCAGATTAGATCTGGCCCTGCTTGTATTCCAGAGACATGGTCACTAGGACCATAGGAGAGTGGTGATCTCTCCAGTGACAGCACAGACAGCAATAACAACCTGACAGGGGCGCAAACCCTTCCTTACTCTATCCAAACCTACAAGCTAAGCCATCCTGTGTGACCCCTGTGTTCCATTGCTGCCGACCTGCGGCGGTCCCGGTGTTTTGCATCACAGCAGCGGCAGGAATAAAATCCCTGTGGTGTTCCAATATAAATTTATAGGACCATGCTGCAACCGCCTTGGTGACATTTAGCCGTGGATCGCCTCCTCACCACCTTTCAAAGACCTCTGAAAAGCAACCCAAGTGTGGATCACTTTTCACAAGAGCAGCAGTCTTTACCCCAAGTGTAAATGAGCCCTTATAAAATCCTAGCTAGCCATTTTTGGAAAAGGCAAATTTTAATAACATTAAATAATAGCATGGTTTGTGAAACAAATATGCTGCATTCCTTTTCTAACATAAGTTTCAATAAAGTAGATGTAAATGATATTGCATTCAGTTAAGCACCGTGTATCATGAATAATAGTCTTTTTTTTTTTTTCTATACAGAACTGTTTCACCTTTTTTCTTTTCTTTGTTGCATCTCAATGCTGCTAATCTCTTTCAGACTGTTGGCAGACACTTCCTGCCTACCTGCCCTCCTGCATGCATTTCTCATGGTGACAACCTTGGACCATGCCTGTAAAATGGGTGTTGAATTCGACACTTGCAGTCTCCATGAGGGCTTGTTCACACTTGACTTTATTTCTAACTATAGTGTTTGACAGGCGTTAGACATGCATTTAGGAAGCATTTTTAACGCTCCTCAAATGCTCCCCAAACGCTCCCAAACCTCCCTATGTGCGGTTTTGAGGCGGTTGATAGGCGTTTGCCAAGCGTTAAAACTGCACCACAAACTCCTATAATGAAGTTAAATGGTCTTAACGCTCTGCAAATGCCTCACAACCAGGGGCGGACTGACCATTTGGAAACTCGGGCACTGCCCGAGTGCCCGGGGTCAGTAGGGGGCCCCATGAGATGCCCCTGGTACCTTTTTATAAACTTTTTTGGGTGTGGGCAAGGACATGGGGGCCCCATGAGTTGTCAGTCCATCCCTGCTCACAACCACACTGCAAACACCTGCCAGGCATTCGTGAAGCGGCACCATAGACTTGAATGGGAGGCTTCAATTCCTCCTGACTCAACACAAGGCGTCAGTTTTGCCGCAACGCTAACGCTTCCGTGTGAACAGCACTGTGTGCTGCTATGTGCAGAGTTTTCATAGGCAATTGAGAAGCGTTAAAAACGCTTCCCAAACGGCTGTCTGACGCCTGCTGACAGAGCTAGTGTGAACGTAGCCTTAGGGCCCCATGCACATTGGGCATATAAAATGCTGCTTATGCAGGTGTTTTGAATATTTTTTTATATATCAGCCTGTAGCAGCAACTCTGTTTTATCCCATGTGTCCATGCACAATTCGGTGCTCACAGGTTGAAAAAAAAAAAAATCAGAAGTGCGTTTTTGAGAGGAGCTTTTCAAGCTTGGTGCGCATAAACATGATGGTTATGAATGTTGTGCGTTTTCAAGTGTATATTGAATATAGTGAAAAATGAGCACAATGTTTTGGAAAAAATGCTTATAAACGCAAAGGCAGCACAGTGGCTAAGTGGTTAGCACTTCTGTCTGGCAGTATTAGGGTTGCCGGTTCAAATCCCAACCATGGCACCACCTGCCTGGAGTTTGCATGTTCTCCCTGTGCCTGTGTGGGTTTCTTCCAGGTACTCTGGTTTCCTCCAACACTCCAAAGACATGCAGGTAGGTGAATTGACTCCTGTCTAAATTGTCCCTAGTATGTGTATGTATGAATGTGAGTTAGGGACCTTAGATTGTACACCCCTTGAGGGGTTAGGGACTGATGTGAATGTACAATATATATGTAAAGTGCTGTGTAAATTGATGGCGCTATATAAGTACCTGAAATAAATAAAATAATAAACACATGTGCAATACCAGCTATTATGCACTTTTTATGCTACTTTTTTCTGCCATTATTTCAGGTGTCTAGTGTACATGGTCCCCTTAGGCTTCATGCACACAGATGCATGAGCTTATGCTGCCAGAAGTTGGCTGAAAAAATGCATTTTTACATTTGCATTTATGTGCGTTTACAGGCATATGGTGTTTAGAAGTGTTTGAGCATAAACTCATTCTGTTGGCTACAGCATTCACGTATTCTAGCCACTAGAATAAATGAACGCACATACGCTCACATTTATACGCATTCAGAGGCGGACTGATTTGGAAACCCGGGCACTGCCCGAGGGCCCGGGGTCAGTAGGGGCCCCAGGACACAGGGGCCCCATGATCCCCTATTGCCCAGGGGCCCCATGAGTTGTCAGTCCGCCCCTGTACGCATTCACGCAGAAATAATATTTATAGGCTCCTCTTCAGGCAGATTGTTTTATGCCTCTAAACACTGCTCTTAATCGCTTGGCTACCGCCCTATAGCAGATATACTGCTACAGGGCGACCGCTCTGCGCAAAATCATATATATGCGTGATTTAGCAGTCCCAGGTAGGGGGCGCGCGCACACGCTGCCCTACCCGCGCTACCATTGGTTGCAGCGGATGTCAAGCACCGGGTCCCGGCCGGCGATTCTCAGCCGACACACAGTGATCCCGCTAAGGGCTCATGTACACGGGATATTTGGAAAACACTTATGAACAATGGAAACTGACTGCTGGAAAACGTAGGTTAAAAAAAGTCTGTTTAGCCGCGTTTGCATACCGCGTTTATGCACGCTTGCGTTTAGAAGCGTTTTTTAAAGATAACCTTAGGAGACCTTCCAAAATGCCCAGAATGCACCGAAAAACAGTTAACTATTTCAGACTTATTGAGAGGAATACAGAGAGCAGTATGTGTTGAGATGACCTGTCTTTTCTGGTTGTATTCACTATGGATCCCATCATGAGCGTAATGCGGCACGTTCTACCATTTATTCCTTCATGTAAAACCTGGAACTGACTTCGCTGGTGTACCGGGTCCATTTGAATACATGGAAAAACACTTTGCGTGCATTTCTGATGATGAAAAAAGGCTCTGGATATGAAACAACTAAAACAAGCTTCTAAACGCAAACGCTTATAAACGTGGTTAGTCGCATTTACATGCGTTTGGCGTTTGAAACGCTGATAAAATCTACTCCTGAACACAAGTTTGGTGCGTTCAAAAAAAGACTGTAAACTCAACTGACTGTAAACGACGATGTGTACATGGACACATAGGAGAACATTAGGGAGAGTTCAGGGGCTGCTGAAAAAAAATGCAGAACAGCTCCTAAACATGATCCCTTAAGCTGAGAGGGGAGAGATCTGTGTGAAAACAACACATATCTCTCTCCTGTCATCAAGGACATGCTGCTTTGTATCTTTCTGCACATTATGTCTCCCTATAAACAGCACACAGCATACAGTTAACCCTTTGATTGCCTCAAATGTTAACCCCTTCCTGCCCAGTGTCACGAGTACAAGCAGCATGTCTCCCTAGTAAAACACACAGCACACAGTGTAAGCACAACATAAAACACAATTAACCAGGTCCCCCTACCCAGAAATGCAAATCACATATATAAAAATGATTTTGCGCAGCCCTGCCAGCCTGTAGCAGTACTTCTACTATAAGCAGGGGTGTATTTACCACAAGGCAAACAAGGCATTTGCCTAGGGTGGCATTTTTCAGGGGGGGCAGCACAGCCCCTCGGAAGAAGGGACACACGTGGCATGGGGACCTGGTGGGTTCCAAGAGAGGCTGTGGGTTTCATGACGGTGTATGCACAGTCTGACTCTCGTTCCCGGGGATGTCCGAAGCTGTGAAGGTGAGTGTCTTTCTCTCTCTTACCATGGGGGATGGTGGCTGGTGTATGGGGAGCAGTGGTAGTAGAAGCAGGGGTGTATTTATCACAAGGCATTTGCCTAGGATGGCATTTTTCAGGGGGGGCAGCACTGCCCCTCGGAAGAAGGGACACATGCGGCATGGGGACCTGGTGGGTTCCAAAAGAGGCTGCAGGTTTCATGACAGTGTATGCACAGCCTGACTCTCGTTCCCGGGGATGTCCGGAGCTGTGAAGGTGAGCGTATTTCTCTCTCTTGCCATGGGGGATGGTGGCTGGTGTATGGGGGGCAGTAGTAGTGGAAGCAGGGGTGAATTTACCACAAGGCAAACAAGGCATTTGCCTAGGGTGGCATTTTTCGGGGGGGGGCAGCACTGCCCCTCGGAAGAAGGGACACACGTGGCATGGGGACCTGGTGGGTTCCAAGAGAGGTTGCGGGTTTCATGACGGTGTATGCACAGTCTGACTTTCGTTCCCGGGGATGTCTGGAGCTGTGAAGGTGAGTGTCTTTCTCTCTCTTGTCATGGGGGATGATGGCTGGTGTATGGGGGGCAGTGGTAGTGGAAGCAGGGGGGTGTATTTACCACAAGGCATTTGCCTAGGGCGGCATTCTTCGGGGGGGGGGCAGCACTGCCCCTGGGAAGAAGGGACACACGCAGCATGGGGACCTGGTGGGTTCTGAGAGAGGCTGCGGGTTTCATGACGGTGTATGCACAGCCCGACTCTCGTTCCCGGGGATGTCTGGAGCTGTGAAGGTGAGTGTCTTTCTCTCTCTTGCCATGGAGGATAGCGGCTGGTGTATGGGGGGCAGTGGTAGTGGAAGGCTCTCTCAGGTGGGAGGGAGGAGTGTTGTTGGTCAATGTCAGGCTCTCTCTGCGGGGGGGGCAATTTTTGTGTTGCCTAGGGCAGCACAAAACCTAACTACACCACTGACTATAGGGCGGCGGGCAATCGGTCAAGAAAATCCCAAATTTTGGGGTGTCACCAAAACAGGAACAGAGGAGAAATCCTCCAATGGAGTCACTAGTTCTGGTGACAACGTGGGATTTTCTTGCTTTAGAGGGATTTCCTTTGACTTCCATG